CTGCAGTGTCACATTGCCTTTCGTTTCCACACACCCCCTCACGCTGTCAGTCAACAACAAGTTTGGCCTGAGGTGCAAGAACTGCAAAACCAACATCCACCACCACTGCCAGACCTACGTGGAGATGCAGCGCTGCTTCGGCAAGATCGTGAGTGTTCCCCTCACAGTGCCATGGTCTGGCTCTTCTTGGCTCTGAGGGTGCTCTCCTCCGTGCCCCCACGCTCTCCATCCCCTCAGCTCCCCAGCAGGGTCTGGGCATTGACTGATGCTCCGCACTCCCCTTCCAGCCCCCAGGCTTTCGCCGGGCGTACAGCTCACCCCTCTACAGTGACCAGCTCTGCATCAAGGACCAGCTCTGTAAGCTGGGTGCTGGGTGCCCCATCTCCCCGCGTGCGGCAGCCAAACCCCTCTCACCCTCCCTTGTGCCGCCGCAGCCGCCGACAGGAGCGACCCCGTGTTTGAGACCTTGCGGACGGGCGTCATCATGGCCAACAAGGAGCGCAAGAAAGGGCAGGATGACAAGAAAAACGTGAGTGAGCACCCCATTGCCACCCAACCTCCCTGCCCACCCCACACCTCCTGACAGCTCTCTGCCTTGCAGCCTTTGGCTGCTATGATGGATGAGGAACCAGAGGCCACAAAGCCACAAGGAGGCAAAACCGAGGGCGGTGAGTGCTGTGGCATGGGGGGGCTTGAGCATTGAGCACCGGGCAGGGAGGGAGCCTGAAGGGGAGACTCACTGGGGTGGGTTTTGCCCTGTGGGAAGGGGGAGGTCTCCAGTTCAGGTCTCCATCCTGGGCCTTCCCCTTGTTGACCTGGAGGTCCTTGGGAAGAGGCTGGTCCCGGGCTGGCAGGCAGCACCAGGAGCGATGTAACCCCCGTCCTCCCGTTTCCAGGCACCTCTGAAGGGAACAAGAAGACTGAGAAGAGCTCAACAGATGACAAGGTACCTATCACCCTCTCGCTATGGAGCAGCATGTGGAGAGGCTGCAGGGGTCTCCCTGGGGCTTTCAGCAATGGTGGGACATTGACACCCCCCCCCTTTTCCTCCTCCTGTAGAGCAAGAAGCCACAGCCAGGGACACGTGGTGGCTTCCCACAGTCTCACTATTTTGTGGCAATTTATCGCTTCAAAGCCCTGGAGAAAGATGACCTGGATTTCCCGTAAGTTACCAGCCACATAGTGAGCACAGGAGGGAGGAGGGGAACGACGTGGCCAGGGAGGGAGTCCCTGCACCCCCCCATAATGAGTCCATCCTTCCCTTCACAGGCCCGGGGAGAAGATCACAGTGGTCGATGACTCCAATGAGGAGTGGTGGAGGGTAAGGCTGGTGTCCTACAAGCAGAGGGGAAAGATGCAGCGCTTAAAGCACATTGCATGGCTGTGTCCTCGTGCCAACCCACACCATGCAGGCTGGTTGCTGAGGGGGTCACAGAGGTTGGCTCCAACCCCCCCCTCACACCGAGCCACTGACTCATTCCAGGGGAAGATTGGGGAAAAAGTCGGATATTTCCCTCCAAACTTCATCATCCGGGTGCGGGCGGGCGAGCGCGTGCACAAGGTGACGCGCTCCTTCGTGGGCAACAGGGAGATTGGGCAGATCACGCTCAAGAAGGATCAGGTGAGACAGGAGCCTGTGGTCCTCAGTCCCCCCCATCTGCTCACACTCTGGAGGCACCTCTATGGGGTGTCACCAACACCCCCTTTGCCTCCAGATCGTGGTGCAGAAGGGAGAGGAGGTAAACGGTTACGTCAAAGTCTACACCGGCCGCAAAGTGGGGCTCTTCCCCGTGGACTTCCTGCAGGAGAT